TTATTGCGGCACTATTCACAATAGCCAAGTTATGGAAACAGCCAAGATGCCCCACCACTGACGAATGGATTAAGAAAATGTGGTATCTATACACAATGGAATTTTATGCAGCCATGAAGAAGAACGAAATGTTATCATTCGCTGGTAAATGGATGGAATTGGAGAACATCATTCTGAGTGAGGTTAGCCTGGCCCAAAAGACCAAAAATCGTATGTTCTCCCTCATATGCAGACATTAGATCAAGGGCAAACACAACAAGGGGATTGGATTATGAGCACATGATAAAAGCGAGAGCACACAAGGTAGGGGTGAGGATAGGTAAGACACCTAAAAAATTAGCTAGCATTTGTTGCCCTTAACACAGAGAAACTAAAGCAGATACCTTAAAAGCAACTGAGGCCAATAGGAAAAGGGGAACAGGAACTAGAGAAAAGGTGAGATCAAAAAGAATTAACCTAGAAGGTAACACCCACGCACAGGAAATCAACGTGAGTCAATGCCCTGTATAGCTATCCTTATCTCAACCAGCAAAAACCCTTGTTCCTTCCTATTATTGCTTATACTCTCTCTACAACAAAATTAGAAATAAGGGCAAAATAGTTTCTGCTGGGTATTGAGGGGGGGGAGAGGGAGGGGGCGGAGTGGGTGGTAAGGGAGGGGGTGGGGGCAGGGGGGAGAAATGAACCAAGCCTTGTATGCACATATGAATAATAAAAGAAAAATGAAAAAAAAAAAGTTAACCAGTTTAAAAAAAAAAAAAGATGAGTAAGGCAATTATCTTTGCTCCCAAAGACCTCAAGCTCTAGCTGAGAGGCGGACATCATAGCATACTGGTTTTCAAGTGGTCTGTGGGATCAGGGGGGTTCCACAATAATTCTGAGAGTTCATTTGCCCTTTTCACTGTGTTTGCATTTTCACTGATGGTACAAAAGCAATAGTTGGTAAAGCTGCTAGTGCCTTTGCAGGAATCATGGCAATGGCACACAACTGAGCTAAGCAGTCATCGTATTTGTCATAGGCACCTCACTGACAGTTTAAAAAACACAAACAGGCATTGGTGGCTCATGCCTGTAATCCTAGCTACTTGAGAGGCTGAGATCAGGAGGATATTGGTTCCAGGCCAGCCCTTGCAAATAGTTCAGGAGAACTCCCATCTCCAAAATAACCAGAGCAAAATGAACTGGAGGTGTGGCTCAAGTAGTACAGCACCTGCTTTGCAAGTGTGAAGCCCTGAGTTCAAACTCCAATCCCGCCAAAAAAAAAAAAAAAAAAAGCCAGTATTGTGGCTCATACTTCTAAACCTAGCACTCAGGGAGGTAAAGGAAAGAGGACTGTGAGTTAGAGGCCAGCCTGGGTTATAGAGCAAAACTATCTCAAAAAAAAAAAAAAAAAAAGGAGCTGGGCACTGGTGGCTTCTGCCTGTAATCCTAGCTCCTCAGGAGGCAGAGATCAGGAGGACTGTGGTTCAAAGTCAGCCTGGACAAACAGTTCCACGAGACCCTATTTTGAAAAACCCTTCACAAAGATAGGACTGGTAGAGTGGCTCAAGGTGAAGGCCCTGAGTTCAAGCCCCAGTACTGTGAAAAAAAAAAAAAAAGGGTGTTGGTTGCTCAAGTGGTAGAGCAGGAGGTCCTCAGTTTAAACCCTGGTATTCCCAAAAAAAGACTAACAAACATTAGTAAGACTTGGTATACATTTTCTTCAAAGCAAAGCGAGCTTTTTGCTTCAAGAGAAACAACTGACAGTATTTCTTGCCAATGATAAATTTCTAATTATTGCTTGAAAAAAATCAATTTTGGAATATGCATATCCAGCACAGTGAACTCAAAAGCTCCTCAATAAAGACTTTCTGATGGTATCAACGATATTAACAAATGTGATTTTTTTTACATTACATAATGTAATGCACCAATATTCAGAATACATTCATAACTCAGTGCACCATTATTTTGCAAATGACTGATGCACCCTGTCAAAATCACACATGGGTAAAAGATTCTATCAAAGTTCAGGAGACCAATGAATCTTGAGTACAAGAAGTTCATGAATGAAGTTTCAGATTCCACTTCAACCAACCTTAAGGAGCTATCACTTTGGTGCAGAATATTCAACAGGCTACCTTTTCCTACTACATCTGGGTGAGGTGCCTTTTCTTTATGCACTTTAACCAAATAGCACAAAGACTGAGTGCACAGTTACGAGAATTTAGCGATCGGTGCAGAATATTCAACAGGCTACCTTTTCCTACTACATCTGGGTGAGGTGCCTTTTCTTTATGCACTTTAACCAAATAGCACAAGACTGAGTGCACAGTTACGAGAATTTAGCGATCTTCTTTTAAGCTAGACCTTAAAAGACATTTGCAAAAATACAAAGCAACGCTACTCTTCTCACTAATATTTTTTGGGGGAAAAAGTGATTTTTAATGAAACATATGCTCACCTATGAGTTATTATTTTAAGTAGGGTATTTTAAAATTTTCTCATATCGTTAAGTATTGGTACATGTAGCCCACCTAAACAGAAGCTCTTTGGAGCCCTTAATAATTTAAAGAGACAGGGGTCTGAGGTAGTGGCTCAGTGGTAGAGCAGGTGCTTAGCATGTGTGAGGTCCTGGGTTCAATCCCTAGCACCAGAAACTGAAGTCTCCATAGAAGAACACTGACTTTGGAGTCTGTCTGATAAATCTGTTTGTCAGGTTTTATGGGGGGTAGGAATGCAAGAAAATGGAACATTTTAATGTGCCCTGGAAAAGAAAACAAAAGTTAAGTACACTAATCTGATAAAAACATGATTAATATGAATGGGGAGACTGAATTTGGACTGGAAAGGATTTGATTGTAGATTACGAACTGCACAGCTCACCCTTATTTTATAGAAAATGAGAAGCTGAAAACAGACTGGGAACTGAAATCTTTTTAAATTTGTATTTCCCATTTCTAGACTCTTAGAAACTCAGAATATTCTTTTATTCTATTCAAGTGTGAGTACGAAGTCTTAGGTTCAGCTGTGATACAAAGTAAACTTTAACATATGTGTCTAGGCATAAGGCTCTATTTTAAACCATGATTAAGAATGAAAGTTTGCAGGAACCAGTGGCTCACTGTAATCCTAGCTACCTGGGAGGCTGAGATCAGGAGAATAGTGGTTAAAGACCAGTGTGTGGGGTTGGGGGGCTAGGGGGGCTGGGAGAGTTTGTCCATCTCCAAAATAACCAGCGCAAAATAGACTGTGGATGTGACTCAGTACTCAGGTGGAAGAGCTTCTGCTTTGCAAGTGTGAAAACCTGAGTTCAAACTCCAGCTCCGCCCCGCCCCCCCACACACAAAAAAGAATGAAAGCTTGACTTGAAAAGTATGTGTAAAAAAAAAAAAAAAAAACCCTCGAATTTAACAGCATGCCCCCAGCTTTATTTAAAAACATGTTCAAGGAGCTGGGGGTGTACATGGTGTAGCACGTAATTAGCACATGAGAGACGCTGGGTTTAATTCTCACAAGAAAATTTATTTAAAAAAAAAAAGGGGAGGGGAGGGGTGGGCCAAGCAATAAAGTTCAAATCTTAAAGGTTTTTTTAATTCTTAAAGTTCAAACATACTGCAAATTCATATTGCTCAAAGTGTACTGCAAAATAAACAGGCCTCTAAATAGTTCTTTGTGTCTCACATTCCTCTATCTTGTTGCCTTGCTGTCCACTTTTAGTTCCTCTTCAGTGATATATTTCTAGAATATACTACAGTGTTTTCAGCGCTACTCTGCCCACACAAAAACAAAATAAATTCATAATATGGGCCCCTGGGATTGGATGGGAACCGCCTCTAAAGGCCTAGTGGTTGGGTCTTTAGTCAATCAAATACCTCTTGGCAAAAAGCCAAGCAAATGGAAAACAGACTCGGAAACCAGTTCCTGTACAACTCTATGACAATACCTTTCTAAAAATCTCCTGTATTTTACAAATCTGTGACACTGTTTTCTCTGTCTCTATCCCTCTACTGAAAATAAAACAATTTTATTATGCTACCATCAACAAAGGTCATTTTAATGACAGAAGAGCATCGCTTCTTACAAAGGTGTAAGCAACTATAATCCTGTATTATAATGTATGTTGCTTACAGAAATACTCGCTGCCTTACAAAACATTCAAAATGTAGATGAAACTACAACTTCACCGAATTTTTAGAAATCTATTTCCTTTCAGCATACACTAATGTCATACCTTTTGCTACTTTAGTGGGCATTTACAACTTGTAAATGCTTTTAACTAGGAACTTTTGGGAGCTATTCGAAGGCAACTATCTAAGGCAAACACCACCAAAACAAAAAAGCCCTAGCAGAATTTCACACCCCCTACCGTGTGGCCAGTTTACCGACACGACCCGTGCTTTTGTTTTTCATAAGCAGTTCAAGCTGGTGATTCTAAAACATGATCGCCACTACAGAATCCCTTCCAAGACTTTAAGTTGCGGATGATTACATCTCAGTTCTTCGAAACAAGCTAACGCTTAACTCCAATTCTAGTTCTCAATTTGGACAACTGACGCCACCGGTAGGAGGCAACCGAGACGGACAGGTCCTCCAAGAGCAAAAGGATGACAGATGCGAAAGGAACACGCCAATTTTTGTCCTCTCCCGCTTCCTCCGCCCTGCCCACGTAGGAACCAACGTCTCTTCAAGGTATCTTTTGGTGGAACTGGCGCCGGGTTTCAAAAATTCTGTTACTGGCTGCCACCAAGGTGAACCCGCGGAGGGGAAGAGGACTGCTCCCCTGATCCTTGGAGGGTGGAAGTAAAGCGAGGGGCGGTTGCTGGGAGACAGCAACCGTCTTTTCCAAGGCCACTTGGGATGCCCGAACCTCGACCCTGACCGCCACTGTTCGCATCACTTTACTGCGAGTGCTCTCGGTGCCGGGGGCCCATGCGCTGCTGATGCCATAAAAGCCCTAAACTGCCTGGAAGAAAGAAAAAAAAAAAAGAGGAGGGCGCCAAACTAGCCGGGGAACTTACCCAGTTCCTTCCACATGGCCAGGTGACAAGCGAGGAAGCCTTTGCGGATCGCAGCGCAAACCCTGGCGGGTTCTGACGAGGTGAAACCCTTCTGCTTCTTGATGAAACCCCATAAGTGCTCCCGGGCAAACTGTGCCGCCTCCCGCCCGCCGTGCCCGTCGCACACGGCGAAGAAGGCCACGGAGGAGCGGCGGCGACAGCAGCGGCCGGCTCCCGCCGAGGCCCCGGCGTCCGGAGAAGGGTCACGGGTGTCGCGGGCTGTCGCCGCCGGGCCTTTCCCCGACACTCCACCACCAGGAAGAGAGGACGGGGACCGCGGCGGAGGCGACGACTGAGTAAGCGCCCGCCGCGGCGACGGCTTTTCTTCTGCCGTCGGCTCGGGCTCCACCACGATCTGGGTAACGTCCTCCATGTACTTCCTCCCGCCCTGGTCGGAGAAGACGCTCACTCCCAACGAGTACAGCCCCGCCATGGCCGGCTGGCTGGGATCCCGCCGGTCCCACGCAGCCCGCCGAATCCGGCGGCGGGAGGCACACTCGCCGCTCGCCGGCCAACTATTGTTTATCTTCGACGCGGAGAGGGAGCAGGGGGCGGTCCCGGAGTGGGGTGCGGGAGGGCGCGCGATGTCTGGACTTGTCCGCGAGAGCAGGGCCGGAGCGCTGGGAAGAGAGAAGCCGAGCTGCGCCTGCGCAGAGAGCTCCCCCCGCCTGTCCTGGCCCACCACACAAATCAGTCGTTCTCCCCCGCTGACGTCACGCGGCTCCCCGGAATCGACCAATCCGGAGTCGAGCGGAGCGCACCCGCCCTCCACCCCCAACCCTGGCTCCTCCTGGAAGCCGGCGCTCCCTCCTCCGGTGGCGGGCGTTTGGCCCGCGCACTGCGCTGTTGTTTTCCTTCTTGCCGCCTGTTTTTGCGCGCTCCGGCCTCTCCGCAGTTGCTGAGCACTTGCCAAGCACCGTGGTTAGTCGCGCCTTCTTTGCTCAGTCCCCTGGACGGCAGTGCTGTCTCCTGCCCTTTTTGTCCACCTGCTGGCGTTGCAAGCTCGGGCCTTCCACGAGTGTAGAAAGTGGGGGAGGAGGGTGGAGGCTAGGATTTGAACTTCTACTCCTTGTAGTAAAATGGCGGGAAACTTCCCTGCAAAGAGCGTTTGTGAGCAGGCTGGGAAAAGTGTGCACCCATAAGCTGGGAATTGCGGGAGGCAGTGTTCAGTTTAGTTAAGAAAACTTGGGACCTGCACCATCAACTGCGCGGTGCCGTTTCCCACTATGTTATGTCAGACTTGACTTAGGAGCGCTGAGTGTAACTTGTTCTTAACAGAGCTCTCCCGCTTTCGTTCAACATAATGCTCTCCCCGACTTGCTCTGGATGCACAGCAGGTTGCAAAACCTGCTAAGACCTCGTGTGCTCTAACGACTTGGTGTTACTGCCCTCCGCCTTGCCCAGTAGGTCACAATTCCAGCGCTAAAACGTTTGCGCGGGTTTCCTCCGAATTCAAATGAACCTCCGAGTGGGCAGGCTAATATGCTCTCAGTACCAAACGTTTTTTGCAGTAAATCGGTTTAAAATTTACTCTTCCGTGTTTGCTCAGTTCACCACCGCTCCTGTGAGCTCTTTCCTGTACAGTCTTTGAGATTTTCAAATGGAATGATACTAAATTGGGAATGGGGGAAATGTACATATAAACAGGGCACCGGAAATGCAGTAGAAAATTCTCATAATAAACATAAATAAGGGAGATGAGGCCAAACTCTCTCCTCCCCTACAAGTCCCTGTGCAGGGTCCCATCATCTCCTAATACACAACACTATTTTCTGGCATCACTAGATGTCAAAATAATATCAAAAAATATGTATATAAAATCATTCTAAGAAAATATAGAAAACAGATTAATTAAATGAAAATGTACTCAAAGATATTTCCTACCCAAAATACACTAGTCCCAGAATGATAAAATGTTTGGAAAAAAATAGCAGCTTGAGGCCAGATACATGGGGCAGGTCTATAATCCCAGCACTCAGGAGGCTGAAGCAGGAGGCTTGGAAGTTTAAGATCAGCCTGGGACATATGGTGATACCCTGTCTCAAAAAAACAACAAAAAGAAAATCCCAGCTTTTTTTTTTTTTTAATCGTTTTTGCATTTGCTCACATATGTATACATTGTTTAGGCCACTCCCCCCCAACACCTCCCACTTCTGCACCCCCCCACCCCCTCCCCAACATTATCAAATCTAACAACTCTATAGGCCATATTTTATAACTACTGAAGAATAATTCCATTACATTTTACAATCCTTTTTACCTCCATCTCAACTAGTAGTCTGCAAATCATCTATCATTACCCCAGCTAATCTCTAGGTTCTAAACTCTACTTCCATTACTCTCATTCTGTATCCTACTCTTCACTGACCATTTCATCTCTCACCAACCATGTCCCCTTTATTCTCAAGCTCTTCTCTCAGTGTTCCTGTCAACTTCCCCTTGCAACTGAAACTACTTTATCACCTGAGAAAACTACATCCCTTGCAACCATTCAAGCACATCCTTTCACAAGTATTCTTACCGTGTGGCCTGTTCCTCATGCTGTCTCCAGATCTATCACCTTTCTTTCGTCTTCCCTCGGAACTCAAGTTCGCGCTCATCAGCTGCAGTTGAGTGAGGCCTCACTTCATTAGCCAGGCAGTCTGCACCATGGCCTGTGTCTCCAAGCTGGCCTGCGTCTACTCTGCCCTCATCCTGCAGGAGGCTGAGGTGACCATCACGGAGGATAAGATCAATACCCTCCTTTAAGGCAGCTGGTGTGAATGTTGAACCATTTTGGCCTGGACTATTTATTTACAAAGGCCTTGGCCATTGTCAACATCGGGAGCCTCCTCGGCAAATGTAGGCATTAGTGGACTCACCATCAGCTGCTACTACTCCAGCAGGAGGTCCTGCCCCCTCCACCGCTGCCACTCTAGCTAAGGAGAAGAAAGTGGAAGCACAAAAAGAAGAGTCTGATGATGACTTTGGTCTTTTTGAATAAACCTCTTTTGTAACATGTTAATAAAAAGCTGAACTCTGAAAAAAAAAATAAACCTTCAAGTTCTTTTAAAGTTAATGTGAATTGTCACTACTGGAAAACGGCATCACCCACTGATCATTAATCACATTCTCTTCATTTGCTCATGGCTTACTGTTTCCTTTTCTGCCACTAACTACTCTTGTCATAGTGTGTGTGTGTGTGTGTGTGTGTGTGTGTGTGCGCAAGAGTGTGCGTATGCATGTGTATGTGTGTTGCCATAGTGAACCTGGGACTTCATGAATGTTAGGCAAGCTAGTCCCCAGACCATCTCGTCACATCTCAGCAATTTTATTCTTCAAAATATTAGTCACATTCTCTATATGACACCGTGGCTTCACAGTTCTTCATCCTCCTAGTGAGGTGGTTTTGCTACTATCAAAGGTAACCCTCACTGGGTGTTGCTCAGTGGTAGAGCATTTGCCTAGCACCACAAGAGTGACAGGCACCACAAGAGAGGGAAAAAACATGGTAACCTCATCATTTGTGTTCTAGATACTTTTCTCCTCCCATCTTTTCAAGTACTTTGCATCAACAATTAGCCTTTCTTGCTCCTGCCTTTTCAATTTCTCTCTCTCTCTCTCTCTCTCTCTCTCTCTCTCTCTCTCTCTCTCTCTCTCTGTCTCTCCCTCTGGTATGGATTTTGAACTCTGTGCCTTGTGCTTGGTAGGCAGACACTCTACCACTAAAGCCACACCTAAACCCCTTTGCTTTAGTTATTTTCTGATAGGGTCTCGAATTGAGGACCAAGCCATCTTGGACCACAATCATCCTATTTATACTTCCTGTGTAGTTGAGATGACAGAAGTGTTGCCACACACAACTCTTATTGGTTGAGATGGGAGTCTCATTCAATTACTCATTTCCTACTGGGTCATCTCCACTTGTGCAGGGTCTGATTTCTAATACCCCAAAAAACCTACCTTTTTTATACTACTTGATTTCTCTTCTCTCCTTCACAACAACAACAAAAATTTTATGGGAGGACTGGGGTTTGAACTCACAGTTTTGTGCTTGCAAAGCAGGGACTCTATCACTTGAGCCACACCTCCAGTCCATTTTGCTCTGGTTATTTTGAATGGGGTCTCATAAACTATTTGCCTGGACTGGCCTCAAACTGTGATCCTCCTGATCTCAACCTCCTAAATATCTAGTATTATAGGCTTGAGCCACTGGTGCCCAGCTCCAACAAAAATACATTTAAATGTGATTTCCAATTCCTATATCATAATTTCTCCTAAACCCAATTGGGCAACCAATTTCTTCATACTACTAAGACTCCTTTCATTATATAACCAGACCTCTCTGTTTCCAAAGCTAATGATAACTTTTCTGTTCCTATTTTGTTCTAGGTGAAGTAGTAAGCAGAAACCTTGCTTCCTTCTTGAAATTTAATAGTACATCAAACCATTGTTTCCTTCTTGAAACTATCACTTCTTGGCTTCTAAGAGACCATGCTTTCCCGGTTTTCTTCTTATCTTACTGTCTGACTGCTGTTTCTCATTTTCCTTTGCTATTTTCTTCTCAGTCAGACCTCAGATTGTTGAGAGTGACCCCAGGACTTTGTCCTGGGCTCTCTTCTCTACTTATACATTCTCCCTGAGTGACTTCATATAAGACCAGGATTCTAAAAACTATCTGCTGAAGACTCCCAAATTCATGTTCCAGTCCTGAACTTCACCCTGAATCTCATACTCTATATACTGTGTACTTGATAGTTCCAAGATGTCTAATGTGCATTTCATCTTAACATGGCCTCCTCCATCCTCAGTATTACCCATACAAGTAAACTGCATCACCATCTACCACACGATTCTAGCCAAAAAACATAGGAGCTAGTCTGTATTCTCTTCACTCTCTTGTCCCTCTCCCCACCAACTTTCTACCCTAAGTCATCAGCCAATCTTTGTGAATAACTGTTCAACATCAATACTGACCCCACCACTTCTCACAACCTCCACCACTGCTACTCCAGTGCAAGCACTGTTACCTCTTACCTGGATCACAGCACTAGCTAGCCTCCTTACAAGTTTACTGTCTTTCACTCTTTCCCCTCCTCAATCCTTCCTTGTTCTACTAGCTACTACAGTGATCTTGTGGAAACCATAAATCAGAGCAAATAATTCCCTTACTCAAAATACTCCCTGATTTCCCATCACACTTAAAACAATATAAAACTCCTTATGAAGGCCTGAATAATCTATTTGGCCCCTAAATGTTTGTCTAACACTATTTCATAACAGGTTTCCTTCCTTGCCCACTACCCTCTAGCCACACTGGCTCTCTTGCTGTTCCTTGAACTTTCAAAGCTCTTATGAGTCTTGGGGCTCTTGGCTTTTTCTTCTGGCTATTCTGATTTGTTTAAGTATTAAGAGATTTTTCTAACTATCCAATCTAAAATAGCTACCCAACATCTCTATCACATAATCCCATTTTAACTCTACACAGAACTTCTCACTATCTGTTCTTTTTTGTTTTTTTTTTTTTTCAGTACTGGGGCTTGAACTCAGGGCCTTCACCTTGAGCCACTCTGCCAGCCCTTTTTGTGATAGTTATTTTTGACATAGGTTCTCATGAACTATTTGCCTGGGCTGGCTTCAAACTGTGATCCTCCTGATCTCTGCCTCCTGAGTAGCTGGGATTATAGGTATGAGCCACCAGCACCCAGCAAAAGGAATTTTATTCTTTCTGTGGTACTAGGCTTTGAACTCACAGCCTTACGTTTGCTAGGCAGGTGATCTACAACTTGAGCCATTTCCCCAGTCCTCACTATCAGTTCTTTTTTGTTTATTTATTGTCTGTCTTCCCCAAATAGAATATAGACTCAATGAGTAATCCCAGCTACTTGGAAGGTAGAGATCCAAAGGATCATGGTTCAAAGACAGCCCACGCAAAAAGTTAGCAAGCTCCCATCTCAACCAACAAGCCTGACCTAGAAGCATTGTGCATCTGCTACAGTGGGAGGCATAGGTAGGAGGATTGTAGCCAGAGACCAACCCTGGACAAGGACTCAAGACCCTATCTGAAAAATACAGGAATAAAAAAAAAGAGGGGAGCTGGAGGTGTGGCTCAAGTGGTAAAGTATCTGCCTAGCAAGTGCAAGGCTCTGAAAACTGCCAAATAAGTCGAAAATAAAAAAAAGAAATAAGTAAGTAGAATATAGGCTCCATGAGAAAAGGGAACTTCCCTTGTTCATTATTGTATACTCTGATAAAATTAAGTGAATTGATTATTACTTAGCAAGAAATGTGTAAAATTGATATGGAGGGAGCTATGAAACTTTACTAAAGGAAAAAAAGGCCTCTGAATAAATATGAAATCATATCATGATCCTCGATAAGAAAACTCAGTTTGTCTCAAATTAGTCTACAAATGTACTATAATTTTAACCAAACTCTCAATTGGATTTAGTTTTTACTTCCAAGTTTTGTTTTGTTTTTTATTTGTCAAGTTAATTCTAAAATTAATCTGGAACAGAAAGTGGGTAACAGTAGCCCAGTTGTTATTGGTGGGGGCAGAAAGGTGGTTAGTTGCCTTACAGATATTGGAATATTGTATAAAAGTTGTCACTAACAGAAATGAACAAATGGATTGATGGAACAGAGAGTACATGTCAGTGTACATGTGAAGGAATATACACAGTTATGCTGCAGCATTTTGAATAATTGGGGAAATGACTAACTGATGTTAGGAAAACTGCCTATCCATTTGTTGGGACAATACTGTATTTAAGAAGAAAAGAAAAGTTAAAGTCCTTAACTCATACCACATTTGAAATAAAATGGCAGGTAGATTAAAGAGCTAAAATTATGAGGAGAAACATAATTGCACAAAAAAGTACTGAGATTTTTCTCATCTATCAGATTAACAAAAAACCTTTCAAGGCTGAAGGTATGCAGGACTGGGAAAGGTGTGGGAGACAAGCACTCTCAATTCAGAGGATATAATTAGATATTTCTATTATAGTCCATATCAACTGTTCTTTGATCTAGAAACGTCACTGCTAGCAATTTACCATACAAGCATCTTTGCAAAAAGTACACATGCAAGCATTCTCGCAGCAGCATTGTTGATAACTCTAAGATTCTATTCCACAATGGGTTCTTTTATTGTTGTTTTATTTTGGTTTGTGTTTTACAGTGCTGAAAATAAAACCCAGGATCTCATGCATGCACTCTAAGCAAGCACTCTACCACTGGCTTATATCCCTAGCCAGCACTGTTTATAATAGTAAATGGATAGCTTTT